GGTGTCTCCCTTTGTCCTAGGGAAAGAAGGATGATACATGTCCAGAAACTTTCACTAATGGAGATAATGACTTAAATCTGCACAACAGCCATGCCCTTGATTATTCTGCTTTTACAGATAACCTCCCAGACCCCCTCTACCCCCCAACATCTTTTGTCTTTAGCTGGGGATGGTAATTAAGGTGGTGGCTTGGACCATTCCCTGTGGGGAGTTACTGAGTTTTCCTGGGTCTCTCTTTGCATACAGGAGGTATACATGTCAGTAAAGTTCTGTTTGTTGTTCTCCTGTTAACCTGTCTTTTATTATGGGAGGGGCCTTCAGCCAAGAACCTAGAAGGGTGGAGGCAAAATTAGTTTTCCTCTTCTCTATAATTTTGATTCCAAATGTGAAATGTGCTCCTGCATTAGTTTTGGAGTGTGATGTCGAAATGTACTTTGTTGTAATGCTATAACCCATCTTGCCATAGCGTTTATTTCCCTTTGAAAAGGAAGAGGGAAACGCTCGGGTTTCTTCCCCAGCAGAAGGGCAGTTGATCATAAGCCTGATCAGCCTTGTCAGGTGAACCCTAGGCTGTGTCTCCCAGGCCCCCAGAGGTGACTTAAGCTGCAAGTGTTTCCTAGGAATCACTCGGGGACTTTCTGAGCATCCCAGGCCAGGAGAACAGTGCTGTGCCAAGATGCAGGATCCTTACTCAACTCCCACTCAGATGCAAGCACCCATTGCCCCACCAGGACTGACCCCCGAAGTCATTCACCAGTTCCCGGGTCTGTCTTCTGCAAACACAGGGCCCCAGAGCTCAACCCAAGGCTGCCCTGGGGTCTCTTGTTAAAGTGTTTTCCTTCTCCCTAGGGCAGTGGTCGGCAAACTCATTAGTCAACAGAGCCAAATATCAACGGTACTTCTCCAAAATAGACTTGCCCAGGCCGAAAACCAACTTCTGCACATGGGCCACGAAGTTTCAATCACACTGCACTTGCGCCCGCACATGGTATTTTGTGGAAGAGCCACACTCAAGGGGTCAAAGAGCCGCATGTGGCTCTCAAGCCGCAGTTTGATGACCACGGCCCTAGGGCATGGATTACATGAGTGGTCCTAGGGTTATGCATTCCTTTTCTCAGGGATAAGTATCAAACCAAGGAGGTTTGCATTGGAAGCTCCTGGAGGCCTCCATTAGTTCCCTGTGGTGTCTGAAACACCTGCCACAAGTGTAGTGGCTCAGAACAACAGGGATCTATCCTCTTGCAGTCTGCAAGGCAGAAGCCGGGAACCAAGGTGTCAGCAGGTGTACTTCTGCCAGAGCCTCTGGGAGAGGAGGGTCCTTCCTGTCTCTTCCAGCTCCTGGTAGCTCCGGACTCCTTGGCTTGTGGCCACATCGCTCCAGTCCCTGACTGTCATCATATGGCCGTCTTTTCTCCCTGTCTCTTAAGAGGACACTTGGATCGCCCAGGATGACCTCATCTCAAGATCCGTCATCACATCTGCAAAGACCTATTTCCAAATGAGGTCACCTGCGCAGGTTTCAGGGGAGAGGACCTGGGCATACCTTTCCCGGCGTTGGGGGGGCTTAGGGAGGTGGTTCCTATTTAATCCACCACAGGCTCCTACCTTCTGAATCCTCCGAGGCCTCGCGCATATCAGCAGCAGAGGTTTCTCTCCACCTGTTCACGGGGACCATTGAGCCAGGATCCAGGCTGTTGGTGGCCCTACACAGTGGGCATACATAACCCTGACCTACAGAAATTTTTAGAAACAACCCACACTCAAAGTGCAGAAGAAAACCTCTCTCAGGGGAGAGAACGGACAGCCAGCACTTTGATGACTGGAAACCAGAAGAACACAGGAACCGGAGAGAAAAGGTTAAAAACAGAACATTTTTAAGTCTCATTACTCCATGGGAAGCAGGTCTCGCAAAGATGCCTGGAGGATGCCAGGGAGGCAGCTAACATTGGTCAATGACTTGCCATATGCCAAGGTCTTTGCCTCACGTGAGGACACATGAGGCAATGGTTATTATCATCCTTTTACAGATGGGGACACTGAGGCACCGTCTCACCACAAGCATGGTGGGGCCCTGTGATGGGAACCCAATCCTGAGGGGAAGCCCATGGGTTGCCGGTGATTGAGTCACTGTTGGGGTGTCGGGCTGCGGAAAGGAGAACCCTGGCTTGTAGGGAAATTGATTGCTTGGCTATAAGTGCATGGCTCCACGTTCCTACTTAGCGCATAAATAGCTGCGCTGTCCTCCCAGCGAAGTCTTCCGTGGGACTAAGGCACTTAGGCAGCCACTCCGGTTCGGACAAGGTCAGGCCGGAGCCCATCTGGCAACACCAGCTCTGCTCGGAGCGATTCAAACAATAATTTGTTCCCGCCAAAGAGGCATTTTTCCAATTTGAGTCCAACATTGTTCTGAAGCTCTGAAGCGAGTGCCGTCCCCCGGGGCACCTCCTGCATAGATCTGCAGCGGATGGCAAACCAACAATATCATCTAAATAAAAAAATCCAGCCTGGGCTTAGTAAATTGATCATGACAAGAAGAAATCAAATAATCTTAGGGAGGTGGCAAGAGCACTGCTGCAGCCAGATGGCTTTCTTCCGAGCCTGTGGGTCCTCAGTGGCAGATTAGAAACAAAACCTGCCTCTGGGTTACTGCCTTGGTTAGGAAGTTAACACCTGCCACTTCTGTGTAGGTGAATCAGAATCGGATATGGATCTCTCTCTCCGCAACTTTAACACATTTTCACTGGAGGAAAGAGTGGAAACACACACACCAAAGCCGCAGGGAGCTACTCTTTCTTACCTTGTTTCTTTAAAGCACCATTTAGGTTTAAACATAATCTATGTTTTTCATTACTCCCATACCGAGATAAACTCTGCTTTCTCTTTAGGTTCTTAGAGCATGAATTCCAAAGAGGGTTCTTAGAGTAAGGGGTATTTGCTGACTCAATGTCCAGGGTCAGTCGGAGACCTTGGTGGTGAACACAGGAGTGTGAGTGAGAAAACAGTGGCCTAGGACTGTGCCTTGCAGATCATGGGAACCTTGTCTGAATCTACTCCGGCTGCCATGGCAACATACTACAGACTGAATAGCTTCAGCAACAGAAATGTATTTTCTTATAGTTCTGGAGGCTGGAAGTTGGAGTCAGGGTGCCCACAGGGCTGGGTTCGGTGAGGAACCTCTTCCTGGCTTGCAGATGACTGCCTTCTGTCTGTGTCCTGCATGGCAGTTCCTCCCTGTGTGCCTGCAAAAAGAGGGAGTGAGCAATCTCTGAGTCCTCTCTTCTTATAAGGGCACTAATCATATCAGATTAGGGCCCCACCATTATCACCTCATTTAACCTTGTTTTCTTAGAGACCCTTCTCCAAAATATAGCCATCCTGGGGGTTAGGGCTCAGTTGGTTGAAGCATCATCCTGTGCACCAAAAGGTTGCAGGTTTAATTCCTGGTCAGGGCACCACCTAGGTTGTGGGTTTGATCCCCAGTCCAGGCACATAGGGGAGGCCACCAATCAACGTTTGTCGCTCACGTCAATGTTTCTCTCTCTTTCTCTATATCTTCCTCCTTTTCTCTTTAAAAATCAATTTAAAAAATATCCTTTGAGTGCAAATTAAATGTATATATATATAAAGTTTGTAGATGGATTTTGGTGATGGTTGCACAACAATGCTTAATGCTGCTGAACTGAACACTGAAAAACAGTTAAAATAGTAAATGTTATGTGTATTTTATTAACCTTTTAAAAACAGTAATTCTGAGTGGTTCCTCACTGATCTTGCCTCCCACTGCTTCCCTACCTTGCTTCCCCCCAATCAGTGGCCTCCCTCCTCTGACTTGACCTTGTCCAATGCATTTCCCCCAAGATGCTCCTCCCCAACTGGCCCCATGCTCATTCCACACCTTTCTTCAAGCCTTTACTCAGTTGCTGCTTCTCTTTAAAATTATAATTTTTATTCTCCTCTTCTCAGCATTTCCCTTCCTCATCTCCCTCTTTATTTTCCTCCATAGTACACACCCTCTTCTAAAATAGCAATTCTGCATTCACATTTCTTTTTATTGTATGTCTTGTCTAACAGAAAGTCAGTAGCACCAGGGCAGGCTCTTCATGTGTTTTGAATGTTACCGAGTCTTCCCTGCCTAGAGTAAGGCCTGGCAAGTCAGAGGTACTGAATGCATATCTTTTGAATGAGTAAAGGAATATCACAGTTGCTTGTGTGTGTGTATCTGCCATTCTTTCTAACTTGTGAGTTTCTTGAAGGTAGAAACCATGTGTTGTTTTTGTTTTTTTTCCACCATTACATTTAGGAGCAACAAGGAAAAATGCATAGAAAAGTAGGTATGCAGTAAAAATGGATGGATAGATGGATGAATAATGGAGGGATTGATGATGGATGGATGAGTGGATGGATGGACAGAGGAAGGGATAGATGGATGAATGGGTGGATGATGGATAGATGAATGGATGGATGAGTGGATGGTGGATAGATGGATGGATGGGTGGATGATGGATGATCGCAGGATAATGGGTGGATGGGTGATGGATGGATCGATGGATGGACGGATGGATAGATGGTGCATAGATGGATGGATGGAAAGATAAAAAATAGACAATGTTTGTTTTGTGCTAAAGGGAGGATGATGTGACTATTCTAAATCTGGAATGGGAGGGAGACATTATGTCTGATTGAGGGCAGTCCGCTGATGTGAACAAAGGTGTCTGGGGAGCATATTATTATATGAACCATCAGCTTCCCTTTGTTGTGGCCTCTGATCCATAGCTTTTGCCTTTACCCACATCTGCATGTGATAAAGCTTAGTTATGACGTCCATATGTCTCTAATGCAAACACCAAGGCATATACTTCTGAAAAGCGCTATAAAGAGCAATGGCTCGAGAAGCACTGCCAGGAGGGTGAGCTCTTTATTATTTTAAAGGGCATTTCAACGACGCTGCTGAGTGTTCCCTGGCCACAGGTCTGACTCCTGTTCTCTCTCTCTCCTCTCAGGATATCAAAGCAGACTGCAATACCTGTGCGGAAATAGAGGACAGAAAGGTAAGTCGATATTTTTCATTGTCTTGGTTTCAAACAAAACAAGAACGTGGTGACCTAACGCAGTGTCTAAGGCCTGCCTTGCTGGATGGTGGCTTGCAGAGGCGATATGCGTGCTGGCTTTAGACTCGTCAAGACAGTCATGCTTCAAAGGGCTCATTGTTCTCTTCCTTGCTCTGCGTTATTTCTGATGACTTTGGTGAAGAGTGCGTAATGCAATTTATTTTAAAAATTGGTGCTGATTTTAGTGGAATATGGTTGATGATTATAATGTCCCATAGTGCATGTTATTAAACAATATTAAATAGAATATGTAGGATGTATAATACAGTCTTGGGGTTTTCTGGGTGTGTCCTTATATTTGAAATACGCAGTTCGGGTGGAGAGAGTTGGCCTCCATTTCCATCCTGACGCAATAAGGGAGCGGCAGCATCTATTTCCATGAGATGTTTGGGCAGCAAGAGGAGGACATTTCCTGCACACTTAGTGCCCCCCCATTGATCTTCTGCATTTGGTGTGTATCCCCTCAGGCAAAGGCCCTGTTAGATCTGGCTCCTCATTTTTAATATGCTCACGCTCTCTTTTTATTGACAAGAGTTTGCAGAAGTTTCTGTCCAGAGTGCACCCAAACAGATAAAATTTTACCTGTAATGCCTTGAATCCAAAGAGGTCAAATAAGGGAATTGAGGCTACATATCTCTTGGCTACATACCAGACATCATTCCACAATTTGGAAAGATGTTTCTGTCTGCAACTGTACCATTGTTGTCCAATGCCATCACTATTTCCAGCAGAGGTTTTCAGCCCTGATTTTGTGAAAGCTCCGTCGGCTGCTGATGGGTAAGGTGGTGGAAAATGTCTCAGCACAAAATTTTGCTTTTCAATAAAAGGAGATTGCCATACATTACTTAAGGAGTGTAACACTATGGTAACTTAAATTCCCTCTGCGTGATTTTCTCTGAGTCGGGGTTGGGTGTTGCTCTGGTTGGCAGGCAAAGGTGTTTCCATTCAGGTTTGCATTCATCACACGTTTCCTTGCTGGTTGCTCACATGTGCGTGCTTTGTGAGTGGGACAAACTGCCACTGGGGCTGACCACATGACCACAGGATTTTCACCTGTTCCCACCAGCCCTGCCCTTGGTGACCTGCCCCAGACACTCGCTTATGGCAAGCTGAACACAGGTTCTGCCCTGCTTCCAAGTTCAGGATGTTTCTGCTTCCCTTGGGCTTTTATGGAATTCACAAACACGTGTGTGCCCAATAGTTTTTTTTTTTTTTTAACTTTCATTGCCAGTCATTTTTGAAAGATGCCAGGAGAACTGATGCTGTTAAAACAACATCAGTCCCATCACCAACAAGATAAATGAGCAACTCAGACAAGCTCCGGGCAGTGACAGCTGGCCACAGAGCTCCATCGTGCCTCCCGGCTGCCTTCGGCCCCTGTGTCAGGATGGGAGTGACGCCTCAGCCCATGGCTGCTCTGTGGTGCTTACTTGGGGGAATCATATTGACAATTCTGTACAGGCTTCAGCTGTTTTCCAAAAAAGGGTAACGCATACATACAAGCACACGCGTGCGTTTTTCTGCTTTGTCATGAACTGGTGGGTTAAAATAAGGCTCGTTTCTAGATCATTCTTCTGCCCCTACCTGTTTTGACTGAGCGGATAGAGTGTCAGCCTGCAGATTGAAGGGTCCCGGGTTCAATTCTGGTCAAGGGCATATGCCCGGGTTGCAGGTTCCTAGTGGAGGGAGTGCTGGAGGCAGCCAATCAATGATTCTCTCTCATCATTGATGTTTCTATGGCTCTCTCCCTCTCCCTTCCTCTCTGAAATCAATAAAAAATATGTATAAAAATCATTCTTCTATTGTTTCCTGAACTTGATCTCATAGGACAAATGACACAGAAATTAGCCCAACCTTTGGCTGCAGTTGGTGGTGATGACTCTTAGAGATACAACTACCTTAATACTTGGTCTGTTTTTACTGTCTTACACCCTGAGGACTTCGTCTTCCTTCTGTTCCACAGAACTTTGCTTTCCGTCTAGATTCTTTTCTGATTTATTTATTTCTGTGATGTGTACATGTGGCTATTGCTTCTCTGGGTCTCCCCATGTGGGTGGGAGTGGGCCTGAGGTGTTGGAGGTAGTCTATCTATGAAGGTCCTGTCCCTTAATGAGTGTCAGGATGCAAAATCTAATCACCTAAGAGGGCAATGCCCTCCCCACACCCCGCAGCAGAGGGATGCCAGCCCTCCCCTCGTGCATGATGTGATGGCAGTGATGGCAGCCCTAGCAGCTGCAGTGACGTCACCCCGTACTCCGCCGCCCTGACGTATAATTATGAAATTTGCAGGAGTGGTGACGCTCGCTCCTGCATGTGTGTGTCCCTCTCCATGTAATCCGGATGCTTCTGGCAAAATCAGTGATTTGATAAAGTGGAATTGAAGTGACAAGCGATGACAGAGGTGCCAAAATAATAAGTCAGCCTGCGGCTGCAGAGGCTGCCCGTGGCCTGCGGGTTTTACGGAGCGAGCGCTGAGAGCGCTGAAGGAGCACGTGTTTCTCCAAAGCCTCCTTCGCTGGGACGCTGATCATGGGTCTCCAGGGCTGCAGGGCTTCCCAAGAGGAACTTCCTTTTACCTTTTAAACTTTATTTTCTTGTTTCTTTCACCTTCCCTTCCTTCTGGTCTCCCCCTGGATGTACCTGTGTGCTCACAGTTATTCTTTGTATGAGTAACTGTTGAGTTCCTTCTTGATAAAAGGACTTTGGGGAACACAAGGTCTCTAGTTTTCTCTGGAGTCTAACACGTTCTCTCCAGCGGCCCCTCCAGTGTCACACCTGATCCCATTGGGTGGGCTGCTCACCTGGAGATGAACCACTTTCCCCTTGAATCCTAGACCAGATGTAACGATCTGGGACAGACAGTGAACTTCAGGAGTCGAAGAAAGCTCTCGTCGCGGAATAAGAAAATCGCTCTTCTTGGTTGGCGCAGGCTGGGCTCTATCTGAGACAGTGGACGGGATGAGAGATGTTTCTTTTCCCTCCTGTTTCCCTGTTTCTCTTTCTCCTGCTCCTATTTTCTGTTGGCAGACAGAACGCTAATGATCGTTTGGAGAACTTTGCCTGGTTGTTTGTGAAGAAATGCACTGCGCACATTGGAATGTGGTTTTGTTTTGTTTCTCTTTTGCTCCTGAGAACACCAATTAGCAGACCCCTGAGAATGGACCTGCATTTGGATGGCTTCCCGGCCATTTCTGGAAACGCCCTGGAGGTGTCCCAGGGAGACCTGAGAGGCTGGCCCGTGTGCACCCTGACGTGGCAAGCAGAGGCACAGGTGGCTCCCTCCCACAGGGGAGTGCCACGGAGTTCATGCGGGCTTCGCAAAGGCGACCCCATCACTCAGCGCAGCTCTACGGCCCTGCACAACTGCACGCGCCTGACATTTACAGTACCTGTGTTGCTGGTGGGGAACTGAGGCATTTAAATTCGTTTTTATTTGTGGTGTAAAATGCTCCTGAATTCAATGCTATTATGAAGACTGCGATTCGGGTGATGAGAGGAGAGGCTGATGGATCAGTCAGGGGGAGAATCTGTCAGGAGGAGATGAGCGCCCATTTGTCAAAGGCGGTAAACACAGACAGGCTTCCGCTCCTCGCTTACTGACTGGGCTGGTGCGGCTAAGCTATTCCAGAGCCGCAGTGAAATTGCACATATGGGTTCTGAATGGTTTGCCACGTGATGGCGACTCTCAGATTGGGTCTGATTGAACAGGATGCTGACCGGGAGGTAGACCCTGTGGGTAACACAGAAAGTTCTGCACTTTTCCTCTTGCAACATTCCCTCTAGCTCAGCCATGGCATGCACCTGCAGATACTTAGAACAGCTGTGCGTGGAGGCACCACACCACCTCACTACACAGGGGAGGTTAAGTGACTTGCCTGAGATCACTCAGGTTGTGTCATAGGTCAGGATGTGGATTCTGAGATGTTTCCTTTCAGAAGCTATGCTCTTAGCTCGAATGCCTTACACATACATGCACATAGATGCACATACATGTACACATATGTACACATGACAATGATTAAATTTGTAGGATATGAGAATTGCCCTTTCTGATGGAAGAATTTGCACCTAGGCTGGTCTCTCCACCCATTGCCAAGTAAAGAATCTGCTTTTCAATTAGGGACAACCTTCCAGCCCCTGATGTCCTGGCTCTGGCTGGCTTGCTGTAGATTCACCACAGCATCGCCCATCCCAGACCCTCTGCTGAGCCCCTGGCACCTGCCTGAGGGGTGGCCACTGGCTCTGGTCTTGAGGAGGGGAGATAGTGGCTTCAGGGCACAGTTCTGGCTTCAGTTTCCCAAAGACCTGGTCCGGTTCCTAGCCTGTGAGTTTCCAGCAGGGTGTCCTACAAGAGTTGGAAATTCCATGCTCAAAGCAAAGGAGTCAGCAGATGCAGTAGTTAAAGCCACAGGCGGCAGCCAGGACTTCCTGGGCTTTTGTCCTGCTTCCCCTGCTCAGCAGCTCTGTGGCCTGGGCAGCTTTCTTCCCTCGCCTCAGTCTCCACTTGCCTGTCTGTGACTTGGAGATAATAAAATCCGCTTGGAAAGTTGATTTGAGGAATTGAGAAGATAACACTGCAAAACAGTCCATGTAATGCCTGCCACAAAATAACTCAGCCAACAATAGCTACTTTTGTTTTTGTTTCTGCTAATGGTCATAATGACAGGCATTCCATGTCATTTATAAGTAAATTCCTTTAATAAGCAAATGTCCTGGGGGTTCCGAGAAATAGACATGCGATGAGACCTAGGAGATCTCTGGAATAGTTTAGAGAGAGAGAGATGCTTGGCCAAAGTCAGGAATCAACACCCACCTGTCTGCCAGGCTCAGGCAGACATCACACATTAGTCGAGAGAGACGGAGGCAGCTGCATGGTGATGTGACGTGGCTGGGACAGGTGAGGACTCCAGAGAAATGGCCCCACCTGCAGGGCAGCTGTA